AACAATGACCAGCTCAGAAACCTTGCAAAAGCCTGGGAGATTGTGTCTAGTAAAGTATACTGATGATCACTGGTACAGGGGAGTAATTATGAAAACAGAACCCAATACAGAAGTCGTCTTTGTGGATTTTGGGAACACAGAGACAACAGAGAAAGATCTTCTGCTTCCTTTACCCAGTGATGCTTGGGATATCTTGCTTTTGCCAATGCAGGCCATAAAGAGTTCCTTATCAGATATATCTAGTGTTCCCAAAGAAGCTACAACGTGGTTTAAGGAAACTGTCCTAGAAAGGCAACTTAAAGCAATAGTAGTAGCAAAGGAATCTGATGGTAAACTGTTGATTGAGTTGTTTGATGGTAATACTCAAATTAATGCAAAACTGAAGGAGTTAAGCTTAAACAATACAGGCCTGTGTAAACATGTAGAAGATGAAGCTTTGTGCTCTAGAAATACAGAGGTGAATGTGACTGCAGAGTTACCTTTGAATGCAGGTAGACCTCTTGAAAGAGAAAAAGGCATGTCTGAAGCCCAGGGAGAAGTGGGGAGTAGCAAAGGATACTCCAAAGAAGATGTAAACCTTTTCCTGCCTGCTACAGCAGGAGATCTGGCAGCTGGGTTAATAGAATCTGATGAAATGCTTAGCAGCAAGAAGGATGCTTTTTTGTTAAATAAAGCAAGGGAGGAGTCTCTGCTCTCTGACCAGATGGATAGTCAGGCAGATACTAAATCTGATGCTGAAGGCGGGTGTGTAACACCTGAAGTATTTGATCTACCACAACAGAAGATAGTGCCAGCTCTTAAAGCATTAGTGTACGTGTCTCATGCAAATGATCCGTCGGATTTTTATGTTCAGCTAGAAAGTGATGAGGCTCAGCTTAACAACATTTCGGAAAGCTTAAATGATAGGAAGCAAGCTAGGAACCCTTGTGACCAACTCTTGCAAGCAGGAGACTTAATCAGCGCTGTTTATTCAGTAGACGGCCTGTGGTATCGAGCTGTTGTCAAAGAGAAGACTTCTGACAATTTGATAAGTATACAGTATATCGACTACGGTAACCCTTCAGTAATTAATGTTGATCAAGCACACAGACTCCCTGAAGACTTGTCATCTATTCCAGCGATAAGCATTCACTGCTTCCTAAGTGGACTGAAACGCGGAAAAAACACAGACTGGAAGGAGGAAGCAGTGCTTTACTTCATCAGGAGAACGAGTGATGTTCTGCTGGCGTGTGAGTTTGTAGAGAAGGTTGAGGATAAATGGTAAGTTATTCTCAGTGACCATCAAGGTATAATAGCAGCGGGTTTAGCTGATGAAGATCTTGCAAGTAGGGGAAGATCTTACTCAATGGAAACGCTTCATAGAGGAGACAACAGTGACTTGGTAGCTGTGTGCGAGCCTTTGCCTCCTCAGGCACAAAACGAAATTTCCAGTGTAAGTGATTGTCAGTCATTTATCTGGAAGTTTCCAGAGGCAGGTCAGACTGTAAAAATTTATGTCATGGTGGTAAATGGTCCAGAATATTTTTGGAGTCGCAGTGCTGATACAGAAGACGTGAACTACATAGAGGAAAAAATAGAGGAAGCTGAAAACCTTGGACTAAAATCCTTGAACGATTGTGGATCTTGTATTAAGAGTGGTGATATTTGCCTAGCAAAATACAGTCTAGATGGGAAGTTCTACAGAGCTCAAGTAATCAGTGTAAAAGGTGACAACGTAGTTGTTAGGCATATGGATTATGGAAGTGAGGAAGCTGTTAGCATGGAGATGGTCCGACAGATTCCATGCGAATTGCTCGAAGCACCTAATCAAGCATTTGCTTGCTGCCTGTCAGGTTTCAGTTCCTTAGAGGGCTCATGGCTTAGTGAAGCAAAAGAGAGGTTTTCTGTTATGACTGAAGACCTCTTACTAGAAGCTGAATAATAGAAACTCAGGAAGATACAGCTTCTGAAGTCCCTCTCTCTGTTGTCAAGCTGGAAGCTTCCGGCAAGAATATTAATGAAGAGATGAAGCCTTTTTGGAAGGCTCATGAAGGAACTGGTGACAATGCTTCCTCAGACCTTGAGAAACCCTTGGAGGAAAAGAGCTTTTCAAACAATGATACGGGGCTTTGTCTCGAAAGAGAAACTACTGCTGTTTGTGAATTAGCTCAAGAAGAAATGGAAAGTGCTTCACTTTGTTCTGAAACTTTTCTGTGTGCAACTTCTGGGTGGCTAAATACTGAGGAAGCAAATGTGTCCGTGGGATCTGAATGTATGCCCGGGAAAGCTGATGATGGATATGAAATAGCTGAGTATCAAAGCAACCTTGAAGACTTACTGCTGTCTGAAGGAAAGAGCAGTAACAATGCATTACTAGAACCAATGAGAAGTTGTAGTCTTCCCATTTTGGGGAGTGAAATGAAAGCTGCGGAACAAGAGTTATCTGAAGTACCGTTTCAAGAGGATGCTGAGCTGAAAGCAGAACTGACAGGCAGTACTTCAGCAGACAGTCTTTTCCTAGGCCACAAACAAGAACTGCAAGGATTGCCAGTGCTCCAGGTACAGTCGCCTTTGAGTGATGAAATGAGGATGTTGGCAGAACTGGACCGATTACAAATGCACCCTTCGTATGATGATCTAAGAGACTGCATACTGGAGCTAGAAGCACTTTCAGTGCAGTCCTCCTTTGGTGAAAAAACAAAGGAGGCTCTGGAAACAGAGTCACTTGAAATGCATACAGCTGTGGGTGGTGAGGCAAGAGAGGTGGCATTGGAACAGGAGTTGTTTGAGCTGCCAGTGGTGAGTAAGGAGATGGGGGAGTTGGCAGCTCTGAAGTTTCTTGAAATCTTATCGCTTAATGAGGGAGAGAAGTTGGTGCCTACAGATAGCGATGGAGAGAAGACAGAGCTGATTCCATCTGATGCTCAGCTTGCTTTGGAAGAGAATGCAAAGAAACTGGAATTGAATTTGTCTGGATTTAGTAAAGCAGAAGCCGTACTGGAAGATTGGGTGGAAGTAGAGACCCTTCCCTCAAGGCTGTCATCTTTTGGTGGTAGACCCGAGAAACAACTGGACCTGAAGACCCACGACATGCTGTCGGTGCTGGGTGCAGAAATTGAGCAGCTTCTGGGGCTGA